GACGAATAGAAACCAGTAATACACAGTCTCTGGAGTTATCGGTGAAAATGAGAGAACAACTTTTCAATTATTCAAATCTTTTTTGAGGGGAATATAGATAACTTAATCCACATACTGACCCGATGTATAATCTGGTATCGTCTTTGACATTGTTTATTTTTTTTTTCTCCCCGCAAAGTCATTTCTCTTTCTCCCCCTGCCCTCTTTCCAAATGGTTTCTTCCATACTGGCTGTAGTTTTCCATACGGTGTACTAGTCCGTGCTAGAGTTGGGGGAGGGGTGTTGCTTGGCAACTACTTGTGTCATTTACTCCCGTTCCGTCTGTCTGCGCTGCTAGCTACAGTAGATGTTGACAATCTATATGCTGTACCCTAGCATGCTGCATGCTACATCAGATTTATACAGAATTATATCCAAAGAGGATTGACTGTTTGTATAATCTGACTTTTTGTTGTATTTGTTTGATTCAGAAATCAAATATCTACATTTAGGATCATAAAGTTGACAGTTTCAGTTTTAGCACAAATTACAAGGTAATTGAGGACATGCTCTAATGCAGGATTCCCCCCCCCCCCCACCCTTTCAACAAAAATTTTTCACGTTGTGATTTCTTGTTGTATGCCAACCTTCTGCGACAATTGTCTTCTTCTGTTTACCTTCTGAATTTATGTTTTCTCGGCTTCTTTTCAAACATTCTTTGAAAGAAAAACTGTCCAACCTATAAATTGGATAAAATTTACTATGATTTTTCTATTTTGGGTGCCTTTAACAGTACTAGGAGTGTTTAATTAATAGGGAAATATTTCGCTCTTTTGTCTTTTTGAACAAGCTACAATTTCACCACCACCATTTCAGTGGTTCAGTCCATATGAGAAAAGGAAGGGGGGGCTATTTTGTCTGGTGGGGGAGCATGCTGCTGCACATGGGTTGAGTGCGATTTGGAGCAGAATGTGCTGTGTCTCTGTGCGTATTTTTTGGGTTCATTGGTTTTTTTTTTTTTTTTGGTTTTTGTTAATAACTGTGTCAGTAATTTGTGAGTAGAGTATATTCAATGGATTTAAAATTACATTTTTTTTTAATTAATGGTATGGTCTGAAGTAGGCTCCTCCCCCTTTCTCTTGTCTTTTTTTGGTGGGTCTAACATGTACTTTGGGGAAAATATATGCGCGTGTGTGTGTGTGTGTGTGTGTGTGTGTGTCCCACATACATACATACATACATACACACATACATACACACACACACTACTGTAAACATCCGTGACTAGTTTTCTCTAGGACGAATAGAAACCAGTAATACACAGTCTCTGGAGTTATCGGTGAAAATGAGAGAACAACTTTTCAATTATTCAAATCTTTTTTGAGGGGAATATAGATAACTTAATCCACATACTGACCCGATGTATAATCTGGTATCGTCTTTGACATTGTTTATTTTTTTTTTCTCCCCGCAAAGTCATTTCTCTTTCTCCCCCTGCCCTCTTTCCAAATGGTTTCTTCCATACTGGCTGTAGTTTTCCATACGGTGTACTAGTCCGTGCTAGAGTTGGGGGAGGGGTGTTGCTTGGCAACTACTTGTGTCATTTACTCCCGTTCCGTCTGTCTGCGCTGCTAGCTACAGTAGATGTTGACAATCTATATGCTGTACCCTAGCATGCTGCATGCTACATCAGATTTATACAGAATTATATCCAAAGAGGATTGACTGTTTGTATAATCTGACTTTTTGTTGTATTTGTTTGATTCAGAAATCAAATATCTACATTTAGGATCATAAAGTTGACAGTTTCAGTTTTAGCACAAATTACAAGGTAATTGAGGACATGCTCTAATGCAGGATTCCCCCCCCCCCCCAAATTTGTAACAAGATGGATTAGTCCTGAAGAGCTCCTCCTCCTTCCTCCTGTTTTCCTGCAGGTCTGCACAGGACAAAGCCTATCCCTTCCCCCACAGTCCTCAAAGGCCTAGTTCACATATCATGATGAAGACAGACCTTTTTTTATTTATTTTTAAAGCCTGCTTAACCCAAATTTTCAATTTTAAATATTTACATTTCTATCACTTTTGAGTTGTAGTCCATTGTTGTCTCTTTTATCTTTACTTCCTTTTATGTTATGTTCAAGGTCATTTCCTATGCTATTTCTTTTGCTATGCTATGCTAACTATCCTGAAACCATAATGGTATGGTTGTAGTATATTTGATTTTACTATAGTATTTTAAATACTTGCAGAAACATTACCAGTACCATGTGACCAACTGCACGACACATTCTTATGAGAGGTACCGTGTGTCTATATATGCAGTTGGCCCAAGTCATTTTTGAGAATCTCTGCAATGCACTGTAAAATAGACAACAGATTAGTGTGCAGTTCTGTCAGCTCTATAACATTCACTTTATATATGCAAGCAGGCTATTTGTCAGATGCCATGTCTTCTTTTACATTGTGGTAACTGGATTTCACTAGCTGAGTAATACAAGTGAATGTACCGGTGCACGAAACAACATGGCACACACCCACACCCTTTCACATAATTCACCCCTACCTGTAAGAAGAAAATGGACTAGTCTGAAAAGAGCTCCTCCTCCTCCTTCCTTTTATGTTCAGCTGCTGGCCTGCTTAGCCTTTCCCTTCCCCCCGCAACATAACCCTCAATGTGAAACATCCTGCAAAAGGTTGACAATTCTTTGACTTTTAAGCATGCAGATGACAATCATAGATAATTCTAGCCATATATGATAGTCTGTATACTGTTCTCAGTGTAGCTTCATATTTTGTCAAGCTCATTCCTTGATGCTAACATCGTCCAAGAATTACCATTGTAGCTTAATGGTATGGCTTTTGTGTTTTTTGCATTTGAGCAAAAAAAATCATTTTAGAACGGCCGCTACACACGCATATACTTTTCGTTACAAAAATGTTCTTATAAAAGGCTTTAACACTTGTGAGCAAACTTTTGTCTTATGTTAACTTTGATGTTTGTGTGGATGTTAGCAAGTTCTGCCATAGTACACAGGAAGTGATTCTGATTAATTCTTACATTCGAATGTTTGAGTCACTTGTCATATGGTAGTTAGTATGTGTGATACGATTTCAAATTTAGACTCAAGTGTGGATGGCTGCTAAAAACATTTTAGGGCAAATGTACTAGCTTTTCGCCAAAATGGCGGAACATTATGATCTTTGTCAGCAAAATTGAAAATTTGAAAAACAAAGTGGTGAAGGGATTTAGTTCTGTCATCGGTCAGTTAAAACCATGATTTCCTTTTGCAAAACAATGAGAAATGAAGCTAAATCCAAGTTTGGGAAATCCGACACAGCAAAATGGAAAGAAAATGGCCGGTGATATGGATTTTGTAACATACCTATAGTAGGTGCATATTTAGCTACTGTCAAACGATTAAGCCAGAACAGCACATCTGGCACTGTTACTCGGAAGAAGAGTCTCAATATTTGGTGAATGCCTACCTCTCTGTTGAAGTTTCCAGTATACTAGGAATAAAATATAATTGCAGTTTATGCTCAATTAATCTGAGCATGTTTGTTTAGTTAAGTGCCCTACATTTTGACTGAACATTGTTGCTGCAACCCGATGCCTTCGACAGGGAACCTCTTTCAGCTAGCTAGTGAGACTTGTGCCTGCCAGCAAACAGCAGAGCCAACGGCCATTTTGAGTTACTGCACTGAATCCTGGCGCAGATGAAGCCGCTGGGTGGGGGAGGGGCTCTGCGCAGTGTGCGCCGACGTTGGAATGTTGCGGTAATCATGTTTGTAGTTAACATCACTGCTGACTTGTTTATGCTATATTTCATACGTTGCTGGGCTTCACCTTGATCTTTTAGTTTTGAGCCACTGCAAGAATACTTTGTGTCCTGAATGAACATTGGTGTGCGTCTGCACCAGTATCTCATCTGACAATCAGTAATATTCAGTGAGAATTTGACATTTCTCACACCCAAATAGTAAGGCCCTTTCAGTTCGAGTCTTGTAGGTCAGCAATACAACAAGGCGAACCGACATAAGTAGAGTCACGTATATTATTATGTGGTTGGAAATCAGCTTTCCATCGGCTGTTTTACATGAAGCTCTGTTTTAATGGGTTTTGTTAGTATGTGGTTGGTATAGTGACCAAATATTTTGCTGTAGTTTTGCCAGCAACTTCTTGTGTTTTGTATTTATCTGGCCGAAGAATGTGTTTGTTTTTTTTTTAATCTATGAATTTCCAGTGTATGTAGTTCCTTTATAAACATATACATCACTTTAAAATCTCAGATGGATCCCTTGTATGCAAATTAAAGGCACATATATTGAATGCTGTTAAAGAATCAAAAGGTGCTCCAAAGATAAAATGCGCACAACACTTTATACTACGGAAAGTCTTCCATGTTTTGCATAACCTCTGTACCGCTGTGGGAGACCCGCCTGAATTCATCTGCTCTGATAGGCTGAGGATTGAACCAATAGAAAAGTGGGGGGATGGGAGGAAGGTTAGGTTGCTGCTGCTTGTTGTAAGCTTCAGTGTCATTTGTGTTCGTCAGATAATGGGTCAAAGGTAAACAGACTTCAAAAATTTTACCAAAATTTGTATTTTGAGTTGGAAGGATTTAATGAGAGAGGCTGTTCCTGGCTCACTGAGCGCCACCTTAACTGTGGCCTTGTTCCATCGAAAATACATAGCTGTGTATGTGTGATGATATTGTTCTTTATTTTAGAATCTTTGAGAGAATTGTTGGAGGCAATAAGAAAAGGAAAAAAAAAGCTATGGGGTGGCATGTAGATCCCTGAAAGAACTTTCTGGAAAAATACAACCGTGGCATTATTAGGGCTCTTGAGGGCCCTCTAGTGTTTCTTTTCAGAAGCTACAGCCAATATATTCCAATGCAGATAACCACAGACTATGAAGTCGGAAAGACCATGCAGTAACCTTCCGATTAACCACGTGGTCTTTCTAAACCCTGAAAGGCTCATCATGGCCTCTAATATCTCCTTGTCACTCCACAGGCAGCAATGGAAGTTGTTGTGACGGAGGAGAAGAAGAAGATATTCCGTGCTCGGAAAACCATGAAGATCAGTGATCGGCAGCAACTGGAAGCCCTTCACAGCACTCTGTTGACAGCAGCATCCGAACCGTCTCCGCCACCGCCTCTAATGAACGGTTCACACAGAGAGGATGGACAAAAGGACGCGGAGCAAAACAGCCACCAGGACTCAAACTCCCCCATCGCTACATCCCCTGCCTCTATGACCTCCCTGAGCTCTCCTGCACCATTCCTCTCACTCAATCTGTCCCCCTCGCCCGTACCCTCGCAAAGTCCAAAAGACAAGGACGAATCTCTTTCAGGACCTTCGTCACCATTCCATGCTATAAACTTTGAACAGAAAAAGGAGGAGGAGGAGGAAAAGACTAGCTTGCCGTCACCCTCATTGAAGGAGACCTCCGAACCAGCAGCACAGGAATCCAAAGAGCCTCAGGAGGGCGCTCAGGTGTTGGAAAAGCCCGAGGTAATTTCCTGGGTCAATGTTGAACTGCATCTCGTGATTGAAGTTTATCTATGAATAATTAATTAAATAATTTCTCTTCTTTTAGGAGGACCAAACTATAGTCGAAGACAATGCTAATGATGATAAGGACACCGCTAAGGAATCAGTTTCTTTGCCTCCAGAATCTGATGGCACAGTCCCAATGGAAACGGACGCCACCAAGGCCCAGGACACAGCCCAAATAAAGTCTCCTAGTTCCGATTCCTCCATTCCTTCACCCTCTTCCTCCGCGGATGTTAAACGGGAAAAGGATGTAGAGGAAGGGACGAGCAAAAATCAGTCGAAGAAAGGCTTGCTAAAACAAGACAAGATGGAGGTTACCATCGTTAAAGTGGAGGCCAAAAAAGAAAAAATGGACAGTGGGTCGACTTCGAAGCCATCTCGCCCATCTTCCACTCCACCGTGTAATGAAGGTAAGAGGCACTGGCAATCACTTCATATAGTTGAGAAGGTAGCTTCACTTTATTCGCATCAAGCTTAGCGCCACGTAGAGGTTGGTATGAGGCCGATGACAAGGAACTCTGCAAACAGGACTTAATTACTTTGAATGTTTGCATTTTGTCTGAAATGGAACGATGAGGTGGTGTTTGCTTTAGCCCATTATGAAGTACTTGTGGAAATCTACTTGGTTTCCTCTTGTAAAAGTTGATGTGCGAAAGTGGCTGAGGGTGATTTTGTAAAAGGTTTTAAACTCACATGTACAATGCAGCGGCAGTGTTCAGGGTACCGCAAGCTAATGCCAGACATTGACGATGCTATTTATTCAAAATTATGAAATATTATTACTTTAACACTGACCTCATTTAATGTGGATTGATTAGTAACCATTGCAGGGATTAGCTTGCCTCTTGCCTTAAGTCAGTTGGGAATAGGCTCCTGATTTCCTGCGAATCAGAATTTCAGACCTGCCAAGATGGATTGTTTTGCATTTCATATTACAAATAGGCATTATTTCCTCTCAAACTACTCAAGTATGATTTGTCATAAAAAAAACTGAGCACCAAAGCTCGCGAGGCCTGCGACCTAAATTGTGCATGTGCAGCATTCATGTCTGACCGCAAGTGGAAACGGTGACAAAAAAAAAAATTGATAAATCACTGATGTGGGATCATTACTGCCTATTTTGAACATGTCTGAATCACAGCAGCATGGATCGCCATGTTTGTTGAGCCTTCATTGGCCAAATCTTATTTCTTTATTTGCATCCCAGATCCTTGCGCCACTGTTGTCGTATTAGTTCCCCTGCCAGAGATCCCTTTAAGAATTCGAATGGAGAACAGAGCAGCAAGGAGAGACACATGCATGGAGAAGTGAAACGTTCACTCCTTGATGTCGTCATTTCATGGAGGCGTCAAGGAGTTTGGCATGTGCCACAAATCAGTGGTCTCCCTGGCTGAATCATTACTCTCATATCACATGTCTACTTGATGCTTTGTTCAAGGGGAATTCAATTCAATTATGATCAACACTGTTACTCTTCACACACTTGCATATTTAAAGTAATTTGTAAATTTCAGAATAAGAATAAGAAAACCTTTATTCGTCTCGCAATGGAGAAATTCGCAATTTACAGCAGCAAAGTTATGAAAGAAAGACAGTAGAAGAACAAAAAGTATAGGAGCTGCTGTAGGGGCAGCCACTCTCGCGGCGCCATCTTGTACTCATAATAACACAATAACAAAATAATACAACACAACACAACACATAAGACACAGACAGTCATTCAATCTTAACCACTCTTCTGCATACTCTTTGTTACTTGGCACAGTTACAGATGAAATTGGAGAGGATCAAAGTGTCCTTTCACCAGTGGATCAGGGAATGGATCTGTATACAGTGTTGATATGTTAGGGTGGCACGGTGGTCGACTGGTTCGCCTGTCAGCCTCACAGTGCAGAGGTACAGGATTGATGCTCTGGCCTTCCTGTGCGGAGTTTTCATGCTCTCCACGTGCCTGCGTGGGTTTTTTCCGGGTACACCGGTTTCCTCCCACATTTCGAAAACATGCATGGCAGGTTAATGGAACACACTATAAATTGTTCCGAGGTGTGAGTGTGAGCGCGGATGGTTGTTTGTCTGTGTGTGCCCTGCAATTGGCTGGCAACCATTTCAGGGTGTCCCCTGCCTATTGCCTGCTGGGATCGGCTCCAGCACACCCCGCAACCCTTGTGAGGATAAGCGGATTAGAAAATGGATCGATGGATGTTGATATTCTGCTTATGTATTATGTGGAATGCAAAAACAGTGACTGGCCTGCGTGGCAAAAAGTTTTCTTTATATGACCAATTGGATTTGACAAAATTACATCCTAATTGTGGTTAAGTGTAAAATAGTAATTTCAGTATTAAATACTGCCCAAACTAAAAGTTACTCTGCAAGGAATGACAAACCCAAATTATTTCATTTTACACCCTGCTCCATGAGGAGCTTAAAACCCTTCCACAAAGGAAACATCAATAGCTCCTCGATTATTGCTCCTCAAACATCCTCAATTTACATTTAATAAAATTGAGATATGCCTTAATATAGTGGCGTGAGAACAACTTATGGGTCATGGTCAAACCATTGAGTGTCTTCATTCGCTCACATTGCAGCTGTGACGAATGAGATCCAGAGATGTAGGTCTCAAATGTTCCTGCTGAATTCAGACTGCCTGGAAGTTAGAAAGGTGTCACTCCTTGTTTAGCATTAGAGATGTACTCCAGTAAACTGTGCTGAAAGCTAATAGATTCAATAACAAACCTAACAGCCTCACTGACTTCTTCTTTTTCCTCCACTATAGTATGACATCAAGATTTTTTGAAGAAGTCTTGCGATAGCAGGAGGACATCCAATGCAGCAAATGCTTTGATGCAAATTTTTTTTTCTGACTTCTGTCCAATTATTAAAGAAAATGTCAACCAGCTCACTTGAAAGCATTTTGATTGTAAAAAAAAAAAAAAAAATCTCTTCAACTGCCTAGTTGTTTGCTGTGTAACAAACACTTCATTACCAAAACCAAGGACACCCTTCAAATGCAACATGGGGAATGGACAAATACTTATTTCACATACAAATTACAGAAGACAAAATTATTTCATGAGATGCGAACAGCACAACTCTCATGAAAATGCTTTTGTAAATAATCGTTTACATTTGAATGATTTGTTTTTCTATGTAACTCATCAAATAGAAGTGGAATGTTAATGAGCAAAGTATGTTTTCTTTTGCAAGTATGTTTGTTTGTTTATAAAGATGTAGGAAAGTACTCCAGAGGACTGTGTAAATGGAATACCGATGCTGTCTTTGCTTTGACCCCAGTCCAGATCATCCTGTCATAGAAAATTAGGCAGTCACATAAAAATGGGTGTTGTTGTCTGTGTTGGTAAATTTCAACTGAGATTGTTTTGAGTGTGGTAGATCTTGTGTCGAAAACTCGACATGATTACGTAAACTCCATACTGTATCTTCATCATGTCTTTGTTTCTCAAACAGTGTCCGAGGAGAAGAATTGTACTTCTGGAATCAAGCGCACTTTATCAGAGGGCTGTGACAATGGCGAGCAGACTATAAAACGGGATGGGAAGAGACCGAAGATGGATCAAGGAGAATTGGAGGCGCAGCTGGAACTCAAAATCACTGCAAAGGCTGGCAGTCATCACAAGCTTGAGAAGGTAAGCGTACAATTCTATCGCTTTTCCAATTTGGTTGGGGGACACGAGGAATGCAATCACTTCTGTAAGTATTTGGAGCTGTTTGTGCCGAGCTTTCGAGAGCATCACAACGTATTATCTTTCAATGTAAGCTGCTTTTCTTAACTGATGTATCTGCTTTACACTTTCTTAGATTGTGCAGAAGTTAGTGTGTGAACGGTTGCGGGACCTTGAGATGACTATTCTTGAGAAAGGTTTCCAGGAGTTGAAGGGCAGAGTTGACAAGATCGACTGTACCACAAAGCACCAAGTGGTCATTAACACTCTCCAAGTAAGTTCAAGATAATGGATTGATATAAACCAGTGGCTCTCAATTGTTGTCACCCTGGAACCTACACCCCCCCCCCACCTCCCCTGTATCCCAAAAAAGAAAAAAAAGCATTGTTCTTTAAAAGGCTCTGAAAACATGTTACATTGTACATGTTCAAAGTACAATTATGAGCACATTAAGTAAAGGTGCATTTGTGTGTTAAAATGGACTAAGTAAAATTCCATTTCAACATTTGTCAGCTCTGCACTCTTTTTAGGAAAATACAATATGAATAGCTTCCCTTTGCTGTAGAAAATGAACAATGTAGGCAAGTGTAACAGTGACTGACCAGTCTAAACAATTATGCCAGGGTTTCCCAACATTTATTTAGCCACGGCACATATTTTGTATTAGAAGAAAAATCTCATGGCACACCGCGAATCAAAAATGTCACAAGAAGTGGTAGACATGTTAATTATGTACATTCTATCATCGAGTGGAAGCACACGTATTTGTTTTGCCTCTTAGGATATGTTGCTGGCATAGACAAAGAAATGGTATTTGCTGCAGATAAATAATTTTCTGACCAGTCAAATGAAATTGGATTCTGCACATATCCAGAAAATTTGTAATACGAACGCATGTAATGTTTGCAAATATTAAGCTTCTCTTCCTATTTCCCAGGCCAAGATAGCCCGACTGTCAAAGAAGTTTGGAGAAGCCAATCAGGCATCAGAGAACAAAAGGAAACAGGAGGTAAGCGATAGCTTTGATACTCTAACCTTTGCGTCTGTTCAGCGAGTGATGAGCTGTGGAAGTATTCACACTGTATGCTGTCTTAATTTCTGTAGTCACTTGCTGCTTCTACTGCTATTGCTGCTGCTGCCGCTGCTGTTACTACTGCCGCCAAGACAGCATCTGTTGCTAACACACCTCAAGTTCAACGGTAAAGTGTTTAGACAGCGAATACATGCTAATCCCTGACAGTTATTTCAATTTTTTTCTTCTAATCTAGGTCGTTGGTATAACAATTAAATTTTGAAATACCTTTTTTCCCCCATGAACTTTGCATCAAATGACAAACTAAATCATAGATTTAACTACTCAAATTTTAAATAGTGGAGCAAACAGTAGTGTTTGCTTATGTGGAAAAAAAAAAGACCCTTGTATGAACGTGACAATACCGGACTGAGCTGTTCACTGTGCGAATAGTTGACATTGTCCCGGGTTGCTATCTGTAAATTACTGAGCTGTACGCAAATGGGCAGTCCAAAGAATCCTTTCTTCCACCAAATCCATATCATTCCATGCCCCATGTCTTCAGTTTATCAGGATCAGCTTGAATGTAAACATTTCCTCAGACTTGTTTGGACACATATGTCCAGGTCTGTATTTGACACCTGCTGTCCTGGTCCTGAGTCTTGTGACGTTCTACAATATCACGCCTGAGCCTTTCTCCGGGCCGTGCAGAGTGTAGTTACAACTGCACCTCTCCTTCCAACAGCGTGCTCCGTCGGCAGGCAGTAGAGCCGCAGCCCGAGACGGCCAGACAGCAAGTGGCGCTCAATGACGGGAAGACTCCTGCACGCTATGGCAAGAAGGAGAAGGGAACAGAAGAAAAGGGGCAGAGAGAGGAAAAAGAAATGCCACACAACACTACCATGGCATATTATCTGGCCGAATGCAGTGAAGGGAGATGCAAAGCGGACATTAAACTCCGTCCACTGCCTGCCCACTTGGAGAAAGTTTTGTACCGCAACTCCCAAAGAAACACGGGCGCTCGCCGGCCTGACCGTTACGCCTCTTACCTATTTCGATACTTCGTCCCTTATGAAATTTACTTCAGATGGGTGAAAAAGGTCAACTATGTGGGCATATTTGGACAGCAGGCGCTGCCCAAGAACTTAAGGAGGACTATGAGGACATATATTGAGCGAAGATTCCCAGGCCTGCCCAATGGCTGCTGGGGAGAGATTCGTGACCTTATCAATGACATACTATTCGTGAAGAGGAGATGTGATTTCTTCCAAAAATTTGACCAAAGAAATGGCTTTGTATTTCAACAGCCCTGAGTTAAAGCAGCAGAAGCATACTGGGACAATTGTCAGTGTGGCAAATACGGTTGTGTCATCGGACTAGATGGTCAGCAAATGTTCGTAAAAACCATTTCATATTTAAAGGATTCGGAATTTTTGCTGATTCATATATAATGTTTGTGTAACTGTCAGCGCACTTGAAAAGATGAAACTGACATGCCGACTAAGAGTGACAACGATGGTGTTTGCTTTAGTTTTAAGAATGAAACTGCTGAATCAAGTTTTTCAAAGATGTCTGAATAAAGACCAATAAAATAAACCATAGCGTGGTCAGTTGTTCCTGATGTGGGCAGCTTGGCCTCCTTGAGGCCTATCAAGTCTCTAAGCCTAAAATCTTTCTAAACAGGCCAGTCCGGGCACCCATCGAGGTGAAGCAGATCCCAACTGCAGCTGTTACTTTACCTCACACTGCTGGTGAGTTGCACCGTTCCCCTTCTTTTCTCAATAATTACTCAAAGAACAAATATCCTTTGGAGAAATAATGTGTGTGTGTTTACACGTTCCACTCAATAAATTAGATGATTGTAGAATGAAATGGATTTGCTTCAGTTGTTAATTGAAAAGGTGAAAACTCATATTACACAGCTTTTAACAAACACTCGATTACTTTTCAGAAGACCAATTCTGATCTGATTTCTGGAGCAACCCACTTGACAAGCGAGCGAAAGTATCAGAACAGATATTGTTAAATTAAAATTTAAAGTAACATTTTCTATTTGGTGATATAAACCTTCCTTGCAATGACTGAATCAAGACTGTGACCCATTGACTTCACTAGAATGTTGCATTCTTCATTGGAAATGCTTTTCCAATGCTTTTGATCATGTAACAGCAGAATAAATTCTGAAGTCTACAGAACCATTTTTAGCGTGAAATGCATTCAAACTAATCGGGAGAAACGTCATCATGCAGCTCGATAGTGGCACTGCAAACACAACAAAGGACTTGATGCATGTCACCTCCTGAAGAGGGAGACTGAAATGGAGAAAGCCCCAGAAACAAACAAGAACCTGGAGGCCTGGAAAAACATTTCAAATGAGGAATGCAACAGTTTAGTGAAGTCAGTGGGTCACAGGCTTGATGAAGTTATTGCTAGTAAGGGTTACGGCACCAAATATTAAATGTCCATTCCAATACTTATGCTCACTTGTCAAGTCTTGAACAAAAGGTGGTGCATACTGAGGTTGGTGAAGGTCATCATGGGTTGCATCTGATCGAACAGATTTTACGAGCAGTTGTAACCGTTTGATGGTTGTCTTCTCTTCCTCAGCAAAATCCGGCCCACTCGTTCCAACCCCTGTCTCCACTACTGCAGCCATGGTTTCACAGGCCCCCATCATAAAACTGATCACCTCTTCCTCCAATGCCGTCTCCACCTTGGCTACTGGCATCACCACTCAGAGTCCGACAGGCACCTTGTTACTGAAGACGGCGCCTGCGGGTGGCGTGATGACTGGACAGCCACTCATCATACAGCTGCCTGTATCAATGACTAATGGCCAGGGGGGAACACTGGTCAACTTCCCCGTGTCCTCTCTGCCTACGGCGGGCGCGCTCACTAAGCCCAAAACCACTGCTTCCACTACTACTTTCATCATCAAGCCCGCTCCTGTCACTACCACAGCTGCAGGTTCTATTCCAACCCCTATCACTGTGCCAGCACTCCAGGCTCCCCCGAGCCAGATGTCTTCGGGCCAGCTCGCACTGAGCCGAGCCGTATACCAAGGCGGCGCCGGGGGGATAACTACACCCAATGCAGGAGTCTCTGTGACCCCAGCCAGGGCTCTACTTTCTCCTGTGTCTGTCGCCGGAGCCATGTCGACTGCCTCCACATCTACAACATCTGGTCCAGCAGCAACAGGTTCAGCAGCTCCAGGACCTCCACAAGGGACATCTTTGACATCTAAAACAGGTGCAGTACTCTTATTTATTCGTTCGGGTCTACTTTTTATTCATCTCTACGAGGAAAATTGATTTGCTAAGGAAGTAGATTGAGTTGTGTGCTTGGTCATGGAAAGAATTACTGTACCATAATGTCTATTTCTTGGCTGAGAAGGGAAAAAAAACATCTTTGATTCAGCTGTGCCAACTCATCATTATAACCCACAGGGCTACATGTTTTTTGTGTTTGTTTGTTTGTTTGTTTGTTTTTTAAACCACTGTTTGCCACTCCGAAAGATCTTGTGTGCAGATAACTTATTTACAAAGTGTGTTTTTAATAGTTTGTGCCAAAAAATGGGAGCTCTCTTATTATTTTTTTGTCTTCCATTTTTTAAGATTCAATTCAAGACATAATTTTCATTTTTTATAATGGCTGTGATTCATAGCCATTACACTCTGGCAATGGGGTGCACCAAATTACCAGGTCTGAAAATGATTTTTTACTCCCAAAACTTTTCAGAACAATTACCGTATTTTCCGCACTATAATGCACACCAAAATGTCTTCTATTTTCTTATATCAAATTTGATGCGTTTCGCAATATAGGGTTAACCCTTAATCTAATTAATAACTGAAATCCCACCTTCAAATATATTTTGAGTATTTGCACAATAACAATTCCTCTGAAATTATGTCTATGCCATATTGACCCATATGTCTATTTTTAGATGTCAAAAAGGCTCGAGGAAGAAGAGAGAAAGAGAAAGCACATTGAAAATGTCATCAGCATGATAATGGATGGCAATACAGGTGACATAGAGCAGTTGGCAGAAGATGATGAGGATGAGGATGAGGGACTACTCAGGACATGCATGAAAGTTCAGACAGCACTGATGAGGAAGACAATCAAGAGGAAAGTGTTTACCCGACAAGCACAGATGTTGAGGTTCCAACAACAACACAAGACACAATCAGAAAGGAGCCAGTGACGGGCAATGCAAAAAGGAGAGAATACAGATGGAAAAAAATCACAATATCAAGCTCCATCTGTCGATTTTGTTGCATGTGTTGATGAAGGGACAGAGGACAGGTGTGACTGGACACCATATTTGTATTTCAAACAGTTTGTAACTGATGAAATGTTACAGGAAACTGCAGAACAAACAAACATGTACAGTGTGCAAAAAAAGACGAAGTCAGTAAACACAAGTGCCAAAGAGATGGAGCAGGTTCGAGGCATGTACATGCATATGGGGTTAGTACAGATGTCCAGTGTGAGAGCCTACTGGGAGATGGAAACCAAGCTCCCTGCAGTTTGTGATGTGATGTCTCGAGATCGATTTCACGGGCAATCACTTTTCACATGTCTACTGTGGAAAGTGTAAGGTGCATCTTTGCCTGAACAAAGACAGAAGCTGTTTTTCCGCCGACCACAAAGTGAAATAAAAAGGCACTAAAAAGTGTCATGTGAAAAAGAAAGAGGAAAAACTTCAAAACATGTTCTATAATTTCAAAATGTTATGGACAGAACTCTGTTTTTTTGTTCTGAAATTAACAGTGTTGTGACCAAAAAGTTGCCAGAAGCGCCCACTGTATCAAATGTGATACAAAAAATATCTCATAAACAACAAGACATAGCAAAAAAATATTTGTGGATTTTGTTATAAGGGTTAATAAACATCTCAGTTCTCAAAAATCAGACATTTCTGTCTATTCTTTGATGGGTCAGGTCTTACAGGGTTTTAACAGGTCCACATTTCACACAGAGTTAAAAAAAAAAAAAAAGTAAAAGAGAAAATTTCAATGAGATCATCATTATTTCAGTATATACTTTTTTGTGACATTTTTATCGCTTGTACCATATTTCTGAAGGCTTTTTTTGTTCTCTCCTTGTAGACAACCAAGCCACGGGAACAACTCCATCCAAAGCAGCTACTCCTGTAACGCGTCCAAAAGGTGCTGTCATTGATCTTACTGAGGATGATGATGATGTGCAGGGTAAGAGTGATAGGGCACCTATCTTGTACCATTCATTAAGTAATTTTCTATCAAAGAACTTTGTTTCTCAAGATGTATTTTCTGCTTATCAGTGACAGGAGTGAAAGCAGCTACTGTTCCAAGTCCCTCGCTGACCCAGCGTCCACATCCAGTCAACGTTCTAAGCAGTAAGCCTTTTGCTTTACAGTGAACCCTCATTTATCGCGGAGGGGTTACGGTCCACAAAGAACCCACAATAGGTGAAATCCGTGAAATAGTGGAACCGCTCCTAAAGGTTTTCTACACCCTGTACTGGTTTCCAGCCAATCAAAACAAACAACCATTCACACCTATGGACAATTTAGCCTTCACTGAACCCAACATGAATCATTTTCAAATGCGGGAGGAAGCCAGAATACCCAGAGAAAACCCCAAAAGCACAGAGAGAACGTGCAAACTCCAAACAGGAAGCTGGGATTTGACCTCAGAACCATAGACCTGTGAGGCAGTCCTCCTACCCACCAGACATTGTTCCCTGTCACTTGCGCGATATGCGCGAAACGTTTTAGAGGGGTGTGATCAGCCAAGGAAGGAGAAAATACATTTTGTGTGTTGAACAACCCCGCAAATACTCAAATCACAAAAGACTACACAAAATGGCACCATCTAGAGGACACAATTATTCACTTTTGAGGACTACGTAATGCACACAAAAAGTCCATGTTAACGGGAATAAGGAATGACTTTTTGGAAAAGCGAAACGGTTTTCGGAAATTAATTATGTAGCACATGTGTGTGCATTTAAGAATAAGAAAACCTTTCTTTGTCTCACAGTGGAGAAATTCCCAATTTACAGCACAAAAGTTATGAAAGGAAGAAAGTAGAAGTACAAAAAGTATAGGAGCTGCTGTAAAGGCAGCCACTCTCGCAGCGCCATTTTGAAGTCATGATAACATCATAACAAAATAATACAACACAACACATAAGACACAGACAGTCATTCAGTCTTAACCACGTTTCTGCATACTCTTTGTTGTTTGAAGCAGTTCTAGATGAAAGATGAGAGGATCAAAGTGTCCTTTCACCAGTGGATCAAAGACATCATTTCTTGTCATATTTTCCTTTGTTTTATTTACTAAAGTCAGAGGTCTTTATTTTACAACAGAATCTCGTTCCTATGATAGCGATGTAACCGGTATGTGGTCGGAATGCTCTGCTAACACAGTACTGTAGTAACTTAAGCTCATCTTGGAAAGGGAAAAAAAACAAAACAAAAAAAAAAAAACGATAGCTGGAACAAAGTGCTGTCCAGAAGTCATAATTATAGTCAATATTTGGATGAAAAACACTTGCAAGCCCTCAGTACCAAATAAGAAAGTAGGGCAGTAACTCAGCTTGCCTTTGAGTGCCGCCTGACAACATACTGAAAAGAGTCTATTGCATTGGTAACATGGAAACGTGGCTTGTTTGTCATGCCATCGTAAACCTAGGACCGACTGTATGTGTTCAGCCATCTCGTCACCTCTGCGTCCCGCGTCCTAGACACACGGTTCCAAATAATGTGCGTTTTTGAAACGCAAGGAAATTTCTCAGTCAAAAAAAAACAAAAAAACTACGGTACATATTTTTTTCCAGCAACGATCGCAGTTTGACAATCACTGCCATTGTTGTTTTGATCTCGCGTGAAGTAATCTCGCATAATGAGATTTCCGTTCTCGCGAGACGAGATTGGTGAGATCGGCAGACGATTGCCAAGTTGTGCAACGTTAAAACAAGTGTTGCGAAAAAGTGTTGCGAAAGTTTATTGCGGAGATATCACAGAGGAAGCAGCTAAATTTGGATAGTTTTTTGCGTTAATAAGTTGACTTTGAGAAAGCCTTTCATCATTGGAAGCAGAGTAAAGAGAGGAGAATTTATTAACTCAAAGACTGAACCATGGGATGAAATAAGAACGTATTTCTCAGCAAATCTTGTACCGTATTTTCCGGACTATAAGTCGCTCCTGAGTATAAGTCGCACCAGCCATAAAATGCATAACAAAGAACAAAAAAGCATACATAAGTCGCACTGGAGTATATAAGTCGCATTTTGGGGGGAAATTTATGTGATAAAATCCAACCCCAAGAACAGACATGTCATCTTGAAAGGCAATTAAAAAATAAATAAAATAGAAAACAACATGCTGAATAAGTGTACAATATGCTAACGTTACATGACGCATAAACGACGACCTGAGAACGTGCCTGGTATGTTCAAGTAACATATTAAGAGTTATTCAGATAACTATAGCATAAAGAACATGCTAACAAGTTCACCAAACCATCAATGTCACTCCAAATCACTAAATCCAATGGAATCGTCATCCTCTGTGTCACTTTAAAGCCACTCCACCAACTCCGGAGGTAGAAGATGCAGCGCTTCCTCTTCTTCGTCGCTTACATCAGACTCATCGTGGTTTTATCAATACAGGTCTAGAGCGGCCTCTTGCGGTTTAATGTGAAAATAACATGTGAAATGATATAATAATGTGTTAATAATATAACCCATAAATCGCTCCAGAGTATAAGTCGCATCCCCAGCCAAACTACAAAACAACTGTGACTGATAGTCCAGAAAATACGGTATGCCTGAATTATTTAAATTTTTGCAGCATTTGCTTATAAGAAATAAACTTATTATCAATGTATATTGTTGTTGTTTGTGTTATTATCATATGCAATTGAATAAGTAGACCATTTCAAAATTCAAAATTTGGGACTCTCTAAATGCATAATGGTACTCATACTTTTCTGATCAGCGATTCCCTGGGACTCGCAGGGCTCAAACTGTAAAATTATCACTGTGTTTTTTTGTGACAGATTCTCCTTTTTCCTCAGTTTGACAATGTTATATCTCCTGAAATTGCTTCCTTCTCGACTTATTCAGCACTTTCCCAATGCAAAGGTTAATACAGCATAATTTGTTGCTTTGTCATGTGCCTGACAGCCGGTAGATCCATCGTCGTGGACAAGGATTTTTATTTCATTCATTTACAGTATTTTATTTTTTAAATGAAAATAACTATGTCTTATAGTGGCGTGTTCTCTCTCCTCAGGCCCAGGGGCTAGGTCTTCCCCACAAAGCAGCCAGAATACATCCAGCAGTAATACGCCAGTGCAAAACCGCCCCCCACTGGTGAGAATTCAGAACTGCATTATTTTTTCGTGTTAACGTTTTTCCGTAAAATTGTATGGATTGGTTTTGAAGTCCACTGACAAGCTTATACCTCCAAAGTTATGAAAGAAAAGTTGGATGTGGTGTACACACACAACCACTGTTTTTTTTTTTGTTTGTTTGTTTTTTTTTGTTTTTTGTTTTTTTTTTTACATAAACACTATTAACTAACATTAATAACACTTAAAATTTCAGAACAAGGCACTCTTTGTGAATTTCCAGAATGACAAAATGTTTTTGGTCAATTTTCTTGGAAGTTTGGAAAGATATTAGATTCAAGTGGGCTGTCACTATCGGATCTTCTTGAATCGATTGTCCTGTCAACCATCGCATTGAATACTTGAGGAATCTGATGGATTTATCCACAATCATCACGTTACTTACACTCACACTTAAGCACTGCTTTGTTATTCGCAGGTTGGCAGGTAACAAGCTTTGCTCAGCTTACTATCTTACATTTTGAAAACAAATTAGTTTCCATTTCAAACTTTTCTACAAGCACTTACAGTGCAGTCCAACTAGCAATTCTAGGTTACCAGTACACATCTCCCAAGGGATGGTAGGTTATAACTTGTTACATTATGACCAAGCCCCACTGCCTTTGGACACAGGACCCGTTGTTCAAATCCCGGTCACAAAAATTACGGGTGGGGCCATAGGCAAGACCCTTTGTGCTATATTTTGATTACCGTCCATTGTTGCTACCTAACACAGATAAAGATGGGTGGTTGCAAAGGGCATTTGGTATAAAAACTGTGCCAAATATATCATCTCTGTGGCAACTCATCCAGCCGTACTCTGCATCTCATTAGGCTCGATGGGTGTATTTAGAGTCATTCCAAACTGATTTTGCTTGGTTGCAGTATCAATGTTCCACCAATAGGATGGTGCTTATGGACAGTGAAAAGCTCATGAGTAGTTTAATTAAGCAGCCCTATCCCACTAAGGAGCGAACAGTTGCAACTGTTGGCAAAGGTGGAAAAATGTTGGTTGCAAATGTTCTCGAAACGCTCGTCTAACGTTCACCAGATGTTCGCCAAAAGTTTTAGTGTTTTTTTTTCTTGTAGCTAGATTTTTTTGGTGTAAACTTCTTGGCAACAAGAAAAGTACCGGCGGCCGTCTCACTCCATTTTCCCCACCTGTATTTTAACTCTCTTTAAGCGCCAAACTTCAATTTAGAAGATTCCTGTTATATTCCCGTTCCTTCCCATATAATTCCTTTTAATTTCCACTGAAATTTCCAACTTGGAAATTCATGCAATTTCGTCACCCACCCGTTTGTTTATGTTATACATGACATTTTCGTGAGTTAGTCTACCTGAAAGTCACCTTCCAACCCAAGGCTTGAGTTGAACCTGTCCCCACCTTCAAGACCAACTGGCTAACCTTAACCTTGTCAGAGGTTCTTATGTAAAACTTTTATGTCTTGTAGAATTCTTCAGTGATATCCCGTACTCCTTCAACGACTACGCCAGCCCGGACCTCCAGCATAACACTGCCCGCGCTCCCCATTGCATCCACGCCCACAAACCTACCACCAGAGGCTCAGCGGACCTCGCCTCCTCAGCAACCTCAGCTCAAACTGGTGCCAAGTCAAAGCGGCATAGTGCTGTCCTGGTGCGTGTCCGAAACGGATCATTCTTGCGCGGCTGTCGAAAGCTATCACCTGTATGCCTACCACCAAGACAACTCAAACAGCAATTCAAGTCAGCAGCACTGGAAGAAGATCGGGGAGGTAAAAGCCCTTCCTCTGCCTATGGCCTGCACCCTGACCCAGTTCCAGTCTGGGTCCACATATCATTTTGCAGTTCGAGCCAAAGACATCTATGGGCGCTTTGGCTCCTTCTGCGAACCCCAGTGCACAAATGTGATCAATCCCAGCTCAAATTGAACACCTACAAAAATAATTTGCATTTTGACTGTTCGTTACTTCTTTTAGGAAATGTATGTCATAGGAGCTCCAATATTGTGCATTGTTGACATAGAGTATCTGTAAATAATTCTCAGCCGACTTCTGACTGTCTTGGAAAGTTGAAGCAGCAGATGGTGTCGTTCAGTGGTTGACGTATTTGATGTACTTTTCATTATTGATACTGTTGTATATAAGTGAACTACTTCTCCACCTTCTCACGGTCCATGTCAGGTAATTTATGTTATTGGCTCATGTACGTCGCCCAGGTGTTGTTTGCTTTACTGGAGACATGATGCCAAGCCTGTCCTGTCAACAGAATTGCACAAAAATGTATACGTGGTAGGAATTGAATGATAACTTTTGTAAGTTTTGTCTGGTAACCAGACTTGTGACAAACAAAATAAAAGGTTTTATTAAAGCTGTTCCTTCCTTCATTTGCAGGCATTTTTTGATGACCATTATTTACAAGTGTCTATAACATTTAACTAACTTTTAAACTCTATACAGTGAGTGTAAAAGGTCTACAGTCCCTGTTCAAATGATAGGTTTCATTTTTGTTGTAAAAAAAAAAAAAGAGACCTAGATAAAAATATCTCAAATGACCAACAAACTGTTCAATTCAATTTCAAACAACACAATAGGTGACGTAAAAATAACCAACTAAGATACTGAGGTTGTACACGTGTGCACACGCTCTTACAACTGAGGGTGTGGCATTGTTCAGATTCAACCACTCACATTTAAACAAATTTTGAATATCAGTCAGCACACACTTGCCATCTCTTAAGGTGCCTCTGATTCACTACAAATAAAATTGAACTGTTCTAGTTGGTTCAACAACAGGCGGTTTTATTTTATTTTTTTTTCCGGAAACATAGATCTCAATTACAACCAATGGCTAAATCTGTTATTGTGCAAGATTTTAAATGTCAGACTCAAAAACAACAAAAACATTTCAAAACCCTCAGCTGTGTTAGAAAAAAATAGACATTTTGCAGCATCAACAAGGTGTTTAGGGACAGATAAAGCCATCTCTGAAAATTTGATGAAATGTAATTTAATTCCCCACATCTGGCACAGAAAGGCCAAAATCACAAGAGCCATGGGTCAGCTCATGTGTCTCATTAATGCTCAGATACCAGCTATAATGAGTCTGAATATTATTCTTGTGCCTGTTTAAAGGGGACTGATTTAAAAGACCTCCATTTGTGGAAAATGTTACGAGTTTATATATATATATATATATATATATATATATAACACATAAGACATTCCCCAGTCACTTCCTTATCTGCACGCGGCCTCGCATTTTAAATAAAACATACAGTAATATATATAAAACAAACTGTTTTTTTTCTCCGTTTTGATTTGCCTTTTTTATTTATATTATTTACTTGAAGGCAACAGTTATTTTTCTGTTTGAGTTCAAACGAAGACTAAGAATGAATGTTCAAATTAAAGGGGAAAGAATGATTTTCATTTAAAAATCAGTTGTGTCACGTTCTGCTTTTGGGGAATCATCAACACGGATGACTGAGGGCGTACTTGGTATGACAAAAAAGTTCGGGGGCACAATAAAGGTTGGGAACCACTGTAATCTCGAGCTCCGCTCCACGTTGCTTGTGGCAGCTGGTGCATATTACGTCTCCCTTGAAGACTGACAAGGCTCTTGCGTCGCTCCTCGGATATTTGTGCCTACTTGACCCGCCCTGAAGGTGAATTCAGTCAGTCTGGTAAAGTGGTACCGGTGTCGCACACAGGTGGGTTGTAACGCTCAATTTTTTTAATTATCCATTGTTATTGAGTTAAGTATTTTGGAGGATGGATTGTATTTGTCACAGTACCTTTAATACAACATATTTTTTACATTTACTTGAGCATTTTCATGAAGAATAAACTGTACTTCAACTTCGTTACAATGAACTCGATTTATTTTAGATGTTAGGTTTAAATTAGGTTTAATTTCGATTGCTCTCGAAACTTCCGCCTTGGGCATCGTCGTCTAATCTTTTTCACCATTCCAATCCAACGAAAAGTGGCGTTGTTCTCAATTTGACCAATCAAAAGTAGCCAGTCAGTCACATGACCTTTCACAAAGTTTCCGCGGCACCAAGCAGAAGCTAAATTTTGATTTTATTGTCATGAAAGTTGTTAAAATAAAGAAAACAACGGTGTTCTAATTTCTGTCTAGTCCAGGGTGTCCCCCGCCACTGCCCGAAAACTGCTGGGTTAGGCTCCAGGACGCCCGCAACCCTCTTGAGAATAAACAGATTAGAAAGTTGATGGAGGGCTAATCAAGTGGCTACTCAAGAGTGTAGTAATGCAGCAAGGGCCACCATGTGATCATCCCTGGACGAGAGCGCAACAGTTTCCAAATTTGAATTTTTGGAATACACCAACAGAGGGAGCCATTGCTCTCGAAATGCAAGGATCGTTTTCTTCTCAATAGTTGAACATCTCTTTAGAAGCGTCTCATTGAGCATCCTATAAGGGACCCCACCTCTACGCAGCTTTCCCTCTCCCCTTCGCGTTCTCTCTCTTTGGAGGAAAGCAAGTGAGCACACTTTGAGTTGAGCTTTGCGCCTCACACCAACCAGTGGTGCTCTCGCCTCCACACTAGATTGCGAGTGGCATGTCGAACATCTGCGCAGGCGGAGGTTTAGCGCTCATCCACAGGGAAGCTTGCGTCTTTCTTTGAGCAGGAAAGCAAGAGGAGAAGACACTCAGAGAGAGTGGCGGGGTTCAAACTGAAAGCCCCCCCTACTCTTTGCCTCACTAAACAGAGCAAACACGGAAGGCTTTGGAGTATTCCATTTTTTCTTTCGTTTTATATTTTTCCTCTTCCTCATTGCGGTGCTGGGAGGTGCTTCTTCTTTTCACATAGTCTCTCTGTCCATCATCTGCCTCCTCATCTATTTCTCCATCTACCTGGTGTACAATTTTCTCTCTTTATGACCGACCAGAGTGGACTTTTCTTGGCATCGCCCTCATTTCTTTTCCTCCTTGAGGCTCTTTTGTCATTCCATCTCTTTCTCTGTATGTAATCTTTTACCAATTTGGATTAGTCTTACTACTACAAATATCAATTCCATGAATGACTTACTCCCCTTTTTTCTTCTCTTTTGGGGTCCCCTTCCACACCCATTTACTTTGCACCACACTCTTGCGGGATTCTTAGATGTTACTCTAGGTAGGTTAACTATCATTTAGTGTCTGTCTATCTGTCTGTCTGTGTGTATTTGTGTGTGCTTTACGTACATAAAACACACATCAATAATATCACGCACATGCACTCAACTGTGGTTGCCCAAACTCAAAGGTCGGGGCCCAAAATGGGTTGCAAGTGATTTTTTTTTTTTTAATCCAGTCCGCGGTTGACAGAGTAAAGCCATTTTTATTGGTTAATTTATATTTGTTGTTATAAAGTGAATCTGTTGCTATTGATCAATGCTATGACATAGTTGTAAATAAGTTTATGTAGTGGGGAGAAACCAAATTTTTAATTTGTTTTTTGAGTTGCAAACGTTTGGGAAACAAACCACCTTCCTCATCTGTTTTTTTTTTTTTAAATGCATTCTACATGCATTTAAAAAAATGCAAATTTTTGCTTTGCTAAATTATATCTATACACGTTGTTGTCAACAAAAGCTTTGCCTTTGTTACAATATGAAGAGAAACTCTTTCAGTACCATTGCTCATCATTACTCATAAAATTGAGTCAACATGCTTTGAGTTATTTATTTCGATGTTTGCCATTAATTCTAAATGTCATATTTATTCTTCCTGCACCCTTTATCACAATCCAAATATATGAATCAGTAAATTCACGTATTTTTTTTATGGTTGGAACGTACCTAAAGCCTCATAAGCGTTCTTGTAGGGAGGTCCGTTTCACTGTGCAATAGAGTGAGACAGACTGATAGACAGATGATCATGTCTCCATAACAGACTAAAGGATCTCACCGCCGTCTCTTTCTTTCGCTCCTTTTTCTATTTATTGCTCTGACTTACACCCTTTTTGGGCACTTCCCATTTTCAAGTTCAGGTGAGACATGGTCACCTGTTTGTGTATAGGATGCCCGTATTAAGGCAAAATGGACTGCTTCCTTTTGCTCCGCCTTTGCTTTTGTGTCTCCACTGCGCTGCCCTGTCAAACATCACCACTGTGCTCTGTGCATTATGTGTGGCAGAAAAGAGTTCACTAGGTGAGTGGCGCCTATAGCACAAGTGGGCATGAGAAGTAGCTGTGTGCACATAGGACTGATCTGCATGGAAATGTATCGTGCATGAACTTTCCTCAGTCAGCATCTCCTCTATTTCACCCTGCTGTGACTAATTGGTTGTTTCCAGCGGCCAGCTTTTGATCTTTATCCCTCTCCCATCTATATGTTTGCGTGTTGCTTCATCTACTTTGTACGTAAATGATACGCAGCATCAGCAGCACATCACCTGCTGAGGATTTTAACCCCCCCCCCCAAAAAAAATGGAATCCTCTCACTCGTTGACCTTTTCTAATTGATGGCAGAAAGCAGCTCAGAGTACTTAAATGTGTCGGAGTGGCTCGGATGGTTTGATTATGTTGACTCAGTCGTTGAAGTGTGGTGCATTGTGCAAGTGCATGTAATCACGATTATGCAGCTGCGTTCTTATGTGGTTGCTCGTCAGGGTGCCTGTTGATGAAAAAGTTGCAATATTGCGACACAAATTTATCACAAGGGAACCTCAGTGGACTTCCAGGTTCTAATTTTGAAACAAACTGTAATCTGTCTAGAAATCCTCTGTTTAATAAAACTAAAATTAAGTAATACTCACCGTACTTAGGTGATATCTGAGATTGGAAATATGGGTTTTATTTGGGTGTTACAATCTGCGTATTCATGTGAGAACTGGGGAATTTATAATGATATTTATTTGGGTATACAATTGAGGTTTAATGAATTGTGTTGCTCAGATTAAACGCAACATTTGGACACAATCTGAAACCACATTCATTCAATTTCTGGTTCTGTGGTTATCATCACACTTTTTCCCTCCTTGTAAACAATGGAAACCTTCTGTTATGGCATCACGACCATAAATAAATAAATAAAGAGATAAATCCAAAGAAATTATAAAGCACATTTTAATGCCACTGAGCTGAAATGTTTAAATTTAAAAATCATGTTAAAAGTTTTCTTGGGGTGTGGTGCATAGAAAACATTGTGAATCTTTTTTAAGTTAAGGTGTAATTTAAAGGAAAAGAAAACCCCGCATTGAATGTTGTTGAAAGTTTCAAGTAGATTTAAAGTCTGCGAGTCTTTTGCCCAGTGTGAATGATTTAGACGAGAGTGGCGAGGAGATGCTCCGCCGCTCGCGCACGGCTGTTTAAATATAAAGGCTTAAAAAGGACATGACCACCTCTTGGGTGTGAGTCTAATGAAGGATTTATGTTCACAAGAGGAGCCATTAGGAGTATGTGCAGATTGTTAACAACACTGATTACATGTAGCAACAACAACAGCCGCAAAGCAACACCAAGCAGCGTTTAGATATTACATCCAATACCTGTTACAGGAGATTACAATTACCCCCCCCCTCCCCCGCCAAAAGTTTAGAGGTCAAATTAAGTTCACCTGTACAGGTTATAAACATTTTGGTTTGGTGAGTACAGTAGTGTAGAAACAGTACGGCAAAGCAGACCACATCTTCGCTCCCCTGAGACGCTAAACAAGATAAATGAGTGAATGGTTGGATGGACGCCAAAATATTAAATAACAAAGTTGTCACGTCACATTTTAAATCAAACTATAAATTACATGAATCAGTTTTTCTGGGGACGGCCTGGAAAAAAAAAGTGGCATCATGATCACTCAGTCTTCCCATTTTAATGACAAAGGCATAATACAGGAGTAGAAAGATGAGCCATGTTGAAAATGCACCAAACGTTGCTTTTTCCTTGTTCCCCAATGTCATGCGAGCATAAAAAAATGGTTTAATCATTGAAAAAGACTGAAAACAGCAACCTGTCCTCAGATTTATTTTTATTATTATTATTATTATTATTACTATTATTATTTTGTAGCAGAGCATATACTTTGGAAACTCTGCTCTCATTGAATGATATTAGGCCATTCAATTTTTAAGCTTTCACGGTATATGTGCTTTACAATAAATTCAATAAATTTGAAAGTTTTTTTTCCTGTGTTCACTGAACCTACATTAAATATATTTCAATTTTTAAATTAAACAACCGAAAAAAAGGAACCTTTCTACGAAATTCTGATTTGAGATACATCTCTATATCAATGGTGGTTTGTGTCTCCACACAAAACTAGAGCGCCATATGTGTTTGTTGTCCTCAAACAGAACCGCAAAACTGCAAAAACAAGCGCCAGCATCTTGACCTTGATTATTGAGGTGTGTGCAAAGTGATGCTCATCCTTCCACGAACAAGTCATTTTGTAACTCTTCTTCTCTTTCTCCCATTCAGACTGAAGAAGACGAGAGCGAAGATCGAGCCGATAAAGTGATCAAGACGGCTGGTTAGAAACCCAAGTCAACGGGCGCATCGAAAGTCCATGAAGAAAAGAACAGGAGGAAAGAAGAGGAGTATATATAAATACATACGGTACACCGCTTCTCATTTCCTTCTCGTCTCCACGGCAACCGTGCTTTGCACAGACTTCTGGGAGGAGACCTGGCTGAGCTGTCGCCAGCGTTGGAGCAGGCGAGAGCAGAAAAAAAATTGCCCATGAAACACCATACCTTCATGATGTTCCATCACCCTCGGCCCACATCTTTTACTTTCTCATAATTCTCATATTAAACCTGGTGGTGAACAAGTTAAAATTCCCGCCAGCTTGGGGTTAACTTTATTTCTGTGAGCGTTCCAAAGTGACTTTTCATTGAATTGCATCTGCAAAATCAACTCACACTGGACAGTCCCTGAAATCCTCCACACAGCCCGAGCGGTCCTCAGACAGAGAAAACTCTGACCTCAGAGCCCCCAAACGCCCTCAGACTTCCTGTGTGTGACTTCCTGTGCCCACCTACCCTTCATCCGAGGCTATGAGAGGAGGAGTCGAATCCCAGCTCACTCCATCATGCCAGTTGTGAAGAGCAATGAGGAGATCCGGGCTGGCAATGTTCAAGGTAGGCCAGCGATTTGAGTAACTGCACATATGGATGTTAAGCCCTTGTCCAAGAACGCGTCTCCAGTGGCAGGCCGTGTATTTGATGCTGAATCTTTAAATGGGGACTTACCTGACTTTGTCCATCTCTTTAAAATACCACTTTCACGTCACGGTTTAGAGAAACTATCAATACTATTTAAAAAAAAAAAAAAAAAAAACAATATAACTGTACCATGTACAATTCAGAATTTAAGTTAAAGTACATCATGGCTCACCAGAAATACTGATTATGAAATGCATTTTGTGCAGATTGCCAGAGATGTGTTTTGCTCTGGCTGGCTCTGACCAATCAATCAAACGATGGTAAAATTGAAAGGTTATTGTGGGCAAACGGAAATATGATTGGTTCAAGAAACAGTGCCATCAATAATGGTTTAAATCAGGGGTCACCAACCTTTTTGAGAGTGAGAGCTACTTCATGTGTCCTGATTGTGTGAAGGGCTCCCAAATTGATAGACGTCTGAAATAACATTTGTACAAATTTCATTTAATATAGTTAATGTGTTATTTTTAATACTTAATGTAAATCTGATTGGACAAGAGCCTCAAATCTGATTGGACACATGTATTGGGAGCAGTCTATCCTAGAAAATGTGTATGGGTGTGTCCAAATTCATAGGCACACCCCCACCCCCCGACCTCTGGTCGCATTTTTGGCAGCATTTTTGGGGCGCATGACGTCACTTCCAGCGCGTGCTCAACTGCACGTGTTCCCAAATTCCAGAGAGAGAGAGGCATCGATTAGATGTGGATTTTCAATATTTGTAGGTTGGCCTGGGCCCGATCCCCCGCGGGTTGTGGGGGTTGACTCTAGATAAAATGCTGTCTTGAGATATGAGCGAGCCAACTCATGAGTTTTTCAACAAATAAGCAGTCTTTGGGATGATTATTTGCTTTGGTCCGACAGGCAAATCCCTGAGATATCGGCGCTATGTGGTGTCATTGAACTTGACAACAAAGAAGCAGCAATCCTGCTCATCTTTTTCCAGAAACATTCCACTTTGACAATTGATACATAGGGTAATGCACTTATAATATGCATTTGAAGCACTTACAGACATATTTAGAGCAACTGAACAGTGACATCCCTGTCTCGTCTTTTTCCCCATGTTTTCTGTGAGCGAGCCGACTCTAGAAGTAAGCGATAGCAAAGTTCTGACTTCAATCAGCACACGACTTCACTAACGGGTCTAGACAATAACGACCGCACAAAGGCAGCCAGCACGATGGTACAACTTTTGTTTTTTGCTCCTAGCGACTCAGCGGGATGAAAGGATTGTTTTAAAAACTGGCAGTGGCACGTCAATGGTAATAATTGTATGGAATAGTACGCATGAAGATTTGAAATGCAGAAAAGACGCAAAATCACATTTCCTACTCAGCGTAGGCGCAACACCAAAAACACCACACATTAAACAACCAAAGACGACTGACCCAAATTTCTTCAGAAAGAAATTGAAATGATTTCTGAATTAATTATGATTTACAGTATCTGTAGATTTCAAATATATTTGAACACAAAATCCCACTTAATTCCTGCAAGAGCAGGCGTATACCAAGTGAACATTAATTTGGCAATTCCTTGGAAAGCTCGTCGAGCCGGCCAAGCCGTGCAGCCTTCACAGCTTCTTCTGCTTGTGTGTGAAATGGAGAACATGCCAAATCCCGTCGATGCGCAGCCTCCGTTAGCGGTCCCGGATTTCTCTTTGGCTTTCTGCCTTGGGCGGATTACATCCCCCTGCCCATCTTTTTGTCTCTTACTCCCTCAGCTTTGAGCGAAAACTTGAGGAGCAGATCCAAACGGCGCTTTTCCCCACATGTGCATTCACCACAGCGTGATGAAGCGTCTCATCATGATCCATCAGCATGACTCACAGCAGGTGTGGGACACCGTGGCCCTCCCGTAAAAAAAAAAAAAAACAGGACGGCTTCAACGGCAACCTACTATTATGATACAGTGCTATAATTAGCACCCAGCCATGCTATGCAATTTGTTTCTGGGATGTTAGCGGAAACAATTTTGCCTATTGAACATCATGGAAATTGAAATAAACAGTTTCAGGATCAACAGTTTCATTCTCATGAAATACTTCAACTGGACAGGCAACATTTTAGTAGATCACTGAATATTTTCTTAACACTCCAGTCTTTTGAGGCTGCACCTTTATTTGGAATAAGTCTGACACAAAAGCAGAAGAAAAAGCAAAATGTTTTTGACTCTGACGTAACTCAGGTCTTGAAAGGGGCTCTCATGCACAACAAAGACTCAAAAAAAATAAAAGGAGGCGAGGCAAAGCATGCTTGCTTGAAGCTGATATAACGCAAAATAAAAGATAAAATTCTGGTAACCCTGCCCTGCGATTGGGTGACAACTGATTCAGGGTGTCCCCCGCCTACTGCCTGAAGACATTTGGGATATGCTCGAGCACGCACCGCGACCCTAAAGCGGATCATTTCTCAACCAGAAAATGTTGTAAGTACAGACGCGTTTTCCATGTAAACGCCCTAACCCGTTCCAAGCCCCGCCGAAATTCAGACATAAATGTTTTCTGAAGCATCAAAATGCATCAAAATATCGAACAAATACATGTTACAATTAGATTGCACAATAAATGAGCATTGTGCATAATGTAAAAAACAAAGAATAGAGTCAACAATAAAAATGATGCTCATTTCACTTTTAACTGCATCCTCATCGGGTTTTTTTTTGCCCTCCTTAGTTCATGTTCTCTCAGAAGTGGTTTTTGCCTGGCGTTTTGTAAAGAACGGATCCAAGGACGTTTGCTCTTGTCGGCTTTTAACAATCGTTGAAAATGTCCAAGGCGAACATCAGCATAGAGAGCGATCGCCCGACTGGTGAATACTTTTTCTGGCTGTTAAATAAAAATATCGGAACACTTTGTGGCTCAAGCGGCGAATGACGAGAACGCTGCATAAACACGCCGATCTATTTATCTACACACATTGACAGATTCGGTAGAGGGCCCTCTTAGCCAATGGGATGCCAGGATGAATGCTCGGGAACAGCCAATGGCAGAGCATGTTGCGTTCAGGAAACTCGGAGCTGCGACTTGTAGCCCACACTCTATTTGCACCTTTTGTACATTGAAATTTATTTCGTAACAAGAGCCAATATTTTCCTGTTGAGGCATTTCGTAACTTGGAAATTTGGTGTGAAGAGACGTTCGTAAATAGAGGTAGCACTGTATATGAAAAACCCATAAAAATTGTCCTTACAGATACAGTGGTGGGAGTGAATGATATATAGCCATACTGATATTTTGTATGACTCGCGAGTCCCTTACGCGGGCTGACATTGCAGCGTACTGACTGTGAACTCTGTTCGCAGTACTCTTTGGAGGACATACTCCCCGTTGAAGGATGTGTGAACAGGATGCCAACAGCTTTGCGCACAGGCGTCGCTCTCACTCAGAGCGCGAGCGGCAAGGAGGCCGTGACATTGCCGAGTCGTGATGTTGCATGTTTTTGGTTTGTGTATTGAAGGGATTACGGGAGCCGAGCCCCGAATCTCTTGTGATTCGGGCAGCAGGCACGTCCCCCCTTGCTTGAGTGTGTGAACTGTGTGCAGAGTGTCAGCGGTTGAGGTGGCGCACACGCCACAAGAGAGCGAGAGGCGGTTAAGACGCTGGCTGCACGCGGCCCGATGAGTCACTTATGGATACAAGCTGCCACGTGTGTGCGGCTTTACAAATGTTGATTGAGTTGCGGAAGGATTGCAGGTGCCGAGTAGCCTGGTGTTTGTTGTTTACTGAGAGCTTGCGAGAAGGGGAGGGAGAAGAGAGAGGAGGGCATGTGCAAAGTGGTAAAAGACTGAAAATGTCTGTCACTGTCATTATTTTTGGGGCAACAAAAGCTCCCAAATGTGGGAAAATGTTTATGGGCCGATGAAACCGAGGTAGAACATCTGCCAGTATTTCTTCCAAGTTATGTTTGCCGCAAACTGCTCATCAAAAGGACATCAGTCCTCGAGCGAAGCATGGTGCCGGCAGCATCATGCTTTGGGGCTATTTTTCTTCAGCTGGAACTGGGGCCTTAGTCAGCTGGAGGGAATTATGAAGAGTCAGTGTCAGCGCAAAGCCTTCGGGCTGCTGCTAGAAAGCAAAAAAAAAAAAAAAAAGGGGGCGGGGGAGTAAAGCCGACTTGAATAGCTTATTGGTGGTTCTAATCGTAAGCGCATTAATTGGCAATACTGCGTGCTTGTCACGTTGCGAGGTGGTGGTGGACCCCAAAAATCAGGCAGGAGGGAGGAGCAGGTTGTGCTTGAAGAAGTGTATTGATAAAACACAGAAAACCAAATCCAAAACAAAGTCCTAAGAACAAATCGAATCCAAAGTAGCAAACAAAAACCATGACTTAAGCAAAAAAACTATCAATAACAGAAACATGACCAAAAAATGACAAACATACATGACAGCAACAAAGAAACAAACAATGACCCGACACCGAGTGGTCGTGCCGGGAGTCCTTTTAAAGCAAAAATTAGATAACGACCAACAGGTGTGCAGCTGCAGGGAGAGCCCTCCAGTGCCACCTGTTGGTCACAAACAGAATCATGACAGTGCTGACTGCCATTTAACATGATTTTGAATGTGTTTAGTTAAAGAATGATATAACACACTTGCAATGGGGAAATGAAGCTTTAAATTTGCTTCGTGGACCAGTTGTCCGCTAGATCGCACCGTTGTTTAATTCAAAACCAGAATGACAAACTTTGTTATAAAAGAGTGCGAAAACTTGGGCAACCTCTGCAATATTGATTAGTGTGCCCTTGGACCTACATGTAACTTGATTGTTTTTTTTTTTTTTTTTTTAACATAACACAACTTTTCGAATTGAAAACAACCACCACATATTCAAGTACAATTCAACGGCATTACAGTGCCAGCAGAAGCTACATGAATAACCGTCAACTCGTATATGAATATAAAAGAAAACTGA